TCCCCCGATACAGCCCGATTCGGGGTTTCGGATGCACAGTTTCGGGACGATTGGGGCGCAGCGCCGGCCACGGGGACGGAACCGCGGGCGGGCGCGCGCGCGGGTGGGGATGCGGCCGGGCGGATGCCTTTGTGTCGCGTGCGCCTTCGCGCAGGTGGACAGCCCGCGCCCGTGGCCGCTTGGCCCGTGCGCACCGGGATCTCGAGTCCTGCTCTGCGCGCCCCCTCTTGCCCCCCCTCCCCATCGCACCGCCGTTCTCATCGCACAATAGGCCCCGCTCGCAGCTGCACCTTCGGTCCCGGGCGGGGCTGGCTTATTGCTGGGCGCTAACGGGACTTGGTAGGGACCGCGCTCCCAGCCGGGCCGGGCCCGTCATCAGCGGGGGACGCGCGATCTTTTCTCGCTCGGGCGCGAGCGGGGGGACCTGGGGACAGGGACGGGCCACGGCTGGAAGGTCCAGGCCAGTGTCCCGAGCCTGCTGGTCCCGCATTAGACAACAAAGAGAGGCGTTCGCGGCGGCGGGGGCGGGGCGGCGGGGAGGAGGAGGAGGAGGAGGAGGAGGAGGAGGCCGGGCTGCGGCGCGCAGGGTTGGGGGGCGCTCGCGCTCCGCCGGCCCAGCCCGCGGCTCCGCCCGCCCCCCGCCCGGCGCGCGCCAATCGCCTCCCGCAGCGAGAGTGTCAGCGGCATCGTCGTGTCCGCGCCCGCCGGTGACGTCGCGCCTCCCCTCGTTCCCCTCCGGAGCCGTCTGGCCGCGGAGGCTCAGTCCAGAGGCGGGGAGCGGAGAAGGAAAACGCGCCGAGTGAGGGCGGGCGGGCGGGAGGGAGCGGAGGAGCCGGGGAGGGGCCCCCGAAAGGACGCCGCCGGCGCTCGCCCGCTCGCTCGCTCTGCCCTCTCGGCGCTGCGTCCGGCCAGCCGGGCACCCAGGGGGGGCGCGCGCGCGGCCGCCGCTCCAGCTCTGCCCCCCGCCCCGCCCGCCCGCCCGCAGCCCTGGGGTGGGGACCCAGGCGGGGGCTCCCGCAGCCGCCACCGGACGCGCCGCGCACGGAGCGCCCCACTCCTTCCGGCGCCGAGCGGGGAGCCGCGGAGCCCGCTGCAGCCGGCCGGCCTCCCCGGCCCTGAGCGCCCCGCTTCCCCGGCCGCCTTTGTGGACGCAGCTTCGGGGCCGAGGCCGGCGGGGGCGCGGCGCGCACGGCCCGGCGATGCCCAGCTCGCTGTTTGCGGACCTGGAGCGCAACGGCAGCGGCGGCGGCGGCGGCGGCGGCGGCGGGGAGACCCTGGATGACCAACGAGCCCTGCAGCTCGCGCTGGACCAGCTGTCGCTGCTGGGGCTGGACAGTGACGAGGGCGCCTCTCTGTACGACAACGAGCCGCGCAAGAAGAGCGTGAACATGACCGAGTGCGTGCCGGTGCCCAGCTCGGAGCACGTCGCCGAGATCGTGGGCAGGCAAGGTGGGTCCGGCCGAGGATGGGGAGCCGGCGGGTGAGACCGGGGTGTCCGGCCACCGCCTCGCGGGGAGGGCGCGGGAGGCACCGGGGCGCGCGGAGCAGCCCGGGGAGCCTCGGGGAGGGAGGGCGAGCCGCGCCGAGGGCCGGCGCCCCAGACAAAGAAAGTGCGGGCAGGCGGCCTCGCAGACCCACGCCGCGGCCACGGCGGGATGCCCCGCTCCTGCTAACACCACCGCCTCCTCCCCGGGCGCCCCCCGCCCCGCCGACCCCCGGGAAAGGCAGTTTCAATGGGAGATGCTTGGGGGAGGGGGGCCTTCGCCAGTCCATTGGGAGGGGGGAGGAGGAGGAGGGAGAGCAGGGGATGGAGGAGGATTCTGCATTTCTGCAGAACATAATGGAGCCCAGATGAGGAACAATGGGTCCCGGGACTAGCCCCCTTTCCCAGCGAGCCCCCCGCGCCCCCCAGCGCTGGGGGACCCGGGCTCCGGCTGTCTCCCCACAACCCCCTCCGCCGCGTCTTCAGGGCGCACGGCGCGCCCCGCGGGGGCCCGGACGCATCTCCCTTCCCGGATGACTTTGCTGGGATTCGGGGGTTCGGCTACGGGGCGACTGCAGTCGCCAGGGAAGGGCTGGGCCGCGCGAGGGCTATTCCTCGAGCGCTTCGCTGTGGGGGGACCCGCTTCCCGGCGCGCGGGGTCCGGGCGGGAGCCGCCCCCTTTGTGCCGCCGCTGCCGGAGGGGTCCTGCCGCCGTTCCGCCGTCCTGGACCACGGACCGTCCCGAGTCCCCTGGCTCATCCCCGGGGGTAATGGGCGTGTCTGTCTGTCTCTCCCCACCCCGACCCCCCCATCCCCCCCCCCCAGGTTGTAAAATCAAGGCGCTGCGGGCGAAGACCAACACTTACATCAAGACCCCGGTGCGCGGGGAGGAGCCCGTCTTTGTTGTGACCGGGAGGAAGGAGGACGTGGCCATGGCCCGCAGGGAGATCATCTCGGCGGCCGAGCACTTCTCCATGATCCGCGCCTCCAGGAACAAGAACACGGCGCTCAACGGCGGCGGCGCCGTGCCGGGCCCGCCCAACCTGCCCGGCCAGACCACCATCCAGGTGCGGGTGCCCTACCGCGTGGTGGGGCTGGTGGTGGGGCCCAAGGGCGCCACGATCAAGCGCATCCAGCAGCAGACGCACACGTACATCGTGACGCCCAGCCGCGACAAGGAGCCGGTGTTCGAGGTGACGGGCATGCCCGAGAACGTGGACCGCGCGCGCGAGGAGATCGAAGCGCACATCGCCCTGCGCACCGGCGGCATCATCGAGCTCACGGACGACAACGACTTCCACGCCAACGGCACCGACGTGGGCTTCGACCTGCACCACGGGGCCGGCGGGGCCGGCCCGGGCAGCCTGTGGAGCAAGCCCACCCCCAGCATCACGCCCACCCCGGGCCGCAAGCCCTTCGCCAGTTACCGCAACGACAGCTCCAGCTCCCTCGGCAGCGCCTCCACGGACTCGTATTTCGGCGGCGGGGGGACCGGCGGCGGCGGGGGCGGCAGCGCGGCCGCCACCCCGCGCCTGGCCGACTACAGCCCCCCGAGCCCCGCCCTCAGCTTCGCGCACAACGGCAACAACAACAACAACGGCAACGGATACGCCTACGCCGCGGGGGAGCCCCCCGCGCCTTCTCCCCCCGACGGCTGCGCGGAGCTGCCGCCCGCCTTCGACCCCGCGCCCGCGCCCCCGCCCGGGGCGCCCCTGCTCTGGGCGCAGCAGTTCGAGCGCTCGCCCGGCGGGGGTCCCGGGGCGCCCGCGGCCTCCTCCTGCTCTTCCTCCGCCTCTTCCTCCTCCGCCTCGTCTTCCTCCGTGGTCTTCCCCCCCGGGGGCGGCCCCGGCCCCGGCGCGCCCGCCAACGCCAACCTGGGGCTGTTGGTGCAACGCCGGCTGCACCCGGGCGCCGGCTGCCCGCGCCTGTCCCCGCCCCTGCCCATGGCCCCCGGGGCGGGCGAGCACCACCTGGCCCGTCGGGTGCGCAGCGATCCGGGCGGAGGGGGCCTGGCCTACGCGGCCTATGCCAACGGGCTGGGGGCGCAGCTGCCCGGCCTGCCGCCGTCCGACAGCTCGGGCTCGTCCTCGTCCTCCAGCTCGTCCTCCAGCTCCTCCACGTCGTCGTCGTCGGGGCTGCGGCGCAAGGGCAGCCGCGACTGCTCCGTGTGCTTCGAGAGCGAGGTGATCGCCGCGCTCGTGCCCTGCGGCCACAACCTGTTCTGCATGGAGTGTGCCAACCGCATCTGCGAGAAGAGCCAGCCGCAGTGCCCGGTGTGCCACGCCGCCGTCACCCAGGCCATTCGCATCTTCTCCTGAGCGCAGCGCGCGCGCACCGGGGCGCACCCCGGGGAGGGGGCCCCGCGTCTCCATCCTCATCCCCGGCGCCCGCCCGCCCGCCCGCCGGTCCCTGCGGTGCCCGGTGGGTGCCGGACCTTCCTCCCCGCCCCGCTCAAGATCAGAGAGGAGCCCGGGAAGCTGGATTATCCGCACAGTTTTACATTTTTTTTTTTCTTTTTCCAACAAAGGGACTTGCCAGGATTTCTGCAAAGATTCCTGCGGCTCGGGACGCACCTGTGAAGCACCCGAAAATGCATGCTCTATACATAATAGGAACGGCGACCTTCTAGTGATAGTTTTTACACTGTACTTAGTAGCAAGCTTCCGGAGGAAGAAGAAGGAAAAAAACACACAAATACCCACCAGTTTCTCCATTTTCTTCAAGTAGGAAAACCACGGACAGTCATTCGTTAGGATGAAGATGCTGATGATAGTAGTGCTATGGGATGTGTGGCCTGTTTAGTGTGTTCCCCCTCCCTGTGGCTGGGTTCCTACCGAGGCTTGTTCCAGAACACCCGTGGGGGCCCTTCCCGGAATGTTCTGGAACCCTGTGGGTCCTTCCCAAAGGTTCTAGAACCCCGTGGGTCCTTCCCGAGTGTTCTAGAAGGGCCGGGAATTCCGGAGACACCCCCTTTCCCCCCTTCCCCCCCATACTGCAGCTTTATGAAAGTTAGAGAAAACTGTAACATATCTCTTATATATTAAAAAAAAAAAAAGAAAAACCAGAAAAAAAAACGTTTAAAAGTTTTAAAAGAGAAATCGCAATTACTACAGATTGAAGTATTTTATTCTTTTTTGACTTGAAAAATTATATTTCATATTGCAAAGATGTTTACAAGTATTTTAATTTAAGTTCAGTGAACTTTTTTGTAGCTGGGTTAAATCTTTTTTATTTTTTAGTACGGCCTCCTGGCGGAAGAACAAAACACTGTATTCTTTTGATAATCAGGGCGCTGTGACGGGTGACAAACCAACCGCGCACACGTGCCGCGCTTCGGACAGTATTCTGTTGGGATGGAGAGTTTTTATAGGTTCGGACGGATCTCCCAGCTCCACGTCGCCCAGCATTTTTCTATTCAGTGACAGAAAACATAAAAGTTTATTCTATATTATTACAAAACAAAACACAAGCAGAACGGAAACACAAACGCATCGGAAGGGGCTGCCGGAGCTTCCTAACCACATTTGTAATAAGTAGAATGCAGTGCAACGTTCCGGGGAATCTGTTACGCCACTATCTATAGTTTTAGTATTTCTATTTTAATACATTTGTTTACCACTCGTTTATGTATATGTAGGTGACGTTACTTGAGCTTAAATGTACTTTACTGAGCAAAGTTTAAAAAAAAACACAAAGTATATTTTATTTTATGATAAAGGGCCTTTAACCTCATGGTCAAATACTAATATTATATTTGCTGAGACAAGATTTGAAATTGTATCAAGAGTTTTATTTTTCTGACATTTAAAGTTCTACATAATAAAGGTAAAACTTAAGTCATGGTGCTACTTCATTTTTTAAGTATTTCTATATAAATAAAATATGGAAGAAAATCTAGATTGTGTGGTGACTTTTCTTTTCGAGCCTTTTTGGGGGACCTTGTGTGAGGAATCATTCTTCAGTGACGGGTTGAAATCTCTAACGTCCAGGCATGTGATGTCGGTGGTTTTATCGATAGATTGGGCTTTTTAAGGAACGGAGGCCAGAGTTGCGTTCGGTTGGATGGATAGGCCGTGGCAGCAGTTTTTCTTTGTTGATGTTGGTAATTCTCACCCGAGGATATTTTCCCATTGATTTAGAGAGAGCGGAAGAGAGAGAGAGAGAGAGAGAGAGAGAGAGAGAGAGACATCGATGGGTCGCCTCCTGCACGCGCCCCCACCAGGGTCCAGCCGGGGAGCAGCCTGCCACCGAGGTCCGTGCCCTTGACCGGAATCGAACCCGGGACCCTTGGGTCCGCAGGCCGACGCTCTACCCACTGAGCCAAGCGGTTCGGGTGGCAACAATCTTTTTAAAAATTTGCAAGATTCTATTGACTCGGGGCTTACTGCTCCATGGGACAGGGCGGGCACAGAGCCGGGGGCCCACGATCCTATAGGGTCCAAGGAAAATGTTTAATGTTTCTTTTTTAATTCAAAGACAAAATAATTTCAAAAGGAAATGAGAACATTCAAAGGCGGCCAAGATTGCGTTTTCAGGCCTACACAAGCCTATTACATTTTGCCTGAACCATTAAGAACATCCCCAAAGCATTTAAAGTTATGTCAAAAATACATTTGAATATATTTTTTTAATGTAATATATTTTCTTTTATTGATGTCAGAGAAGGAGAGAGAGAAACATCCGTGATGAGAGAGAATCCTGGACCGGCCGCCTCCTGCACGCCCCCCACTGGGGTTCGAGCCCACAACCCGGGCCTGTGCCCTGAGCGGGAATCAAACCTGGGACCTTTCAGTCCGCAGGCCGGCGCTCTATCCACTGAGCCACACCGGCCAGGGCTAAATTTTAATATTATGGCCCGGCCAGGGTGCAGCCTCTGAACCAGGAGGTCAGGGTTCATTGCCGGTCAGGGCACAGGCCAGGGTGACGGGCTCCATCCCCAGTGGGGGGCGTGCAGGAGGCGGCCGGTCCATGATCCTCTCTCTCATCATGTCTCTCTCTCCCTCTCCCTTTTTCTCTAAAATCAATAAAAATACATTTAAAAAAAAATGACGATGGCAGAAAGGAGCCCAGGAAAGAAAAAGGCCTGGGACCCGGGAAGGTCGGAGGTCGGAGCCCTGCCCAGCCTGCCTGGGCCCCGCAGGGGGAGGCGCGGCCGTGGGGCTGTTTGCTGTGAGTGTCATGAGGGGTCGCTTCCCGGGGGAAGGGCGGGGGGGGCGGGCTGAGGGTTTCTGGGGGAGGCCTTAGCCGGATTTGCAGGTCTTAATAGGCTCCCACCGGCAGCCTCGCTAATCGCTAATCGGTGTTGACAGGGGCTGGTGTGAACTGTTTGTTGTTTGAGAGGAGTTTCTGTTTGCTGTTTGGGCCTCACCTGCTCCCAGGCCCGGGGCGCTGGGGGGGGGGCCCGCTGTCCCTGGGCCTGAGCCCCCCTCCCTGGGGGAGAGTGACCCTGAGGACTGACCAGACCAAGGAATGGCCAGCCAACTGCCCGGCCAGCGGCCCCTGCACGGCCCTGTCTGCCCAGAATGGGGCGGGCTTTTATTTCTTTATTTCTTTTGTTAATTCTCACCCGAGGATATTTTTCCATTGATTTCTATTTTATTTTTTTTATTGATTTCAGAGGGGAAGGGAGAGGGAGAGAGAGAAGCATCCATGATGAGAGGGAATCATGGATCGGCTGCCTCCTGCACGCTGGACTGAGCCCTCAACCCGGGCATGTGCCCTTGACCGGAATCGAACCTGGGACCCTTCGGTCCGCAGGCCGACGCTCTACCCACTGAGCCAAACCAGCCAGGGCTTTTCATTGATTTTTTTTATGGAGAATGCAAGGGAGAAGGAGAGACAGAGAGAAACATGGATGTGAGAGAGACACATCGATGGGTGGCCTCCTGCACGCGCCCCGACCAGGGCCGGGGAACCTGCAACCGAGGTCCGTGCCCTTGAGCAGAATCGAACCCAGGACCCTTCTGGCCGCAGACCGACGCTCTATCCACTGAGCCACACCGGCCGGGGCTGGCAAGCTCTTACTTGAATCTGGACTGCGGGGGTCGGGGGGGGGGCGGGGGAGGCTGACAGTGAGCAGGGGAGTCCTCAGAGGGGCCTATAATATGGACTCGTGGTACCTGCTAACCCCTTTGTGTGTTTATACGTCCGGCGATGTGGTCGCTGCCCTGGCCCAGGCCCGGGACCTCCTGGTCTATTTGGGTTACACGGTGCGTGAGGGCAGGACACAGGCATCCGGGGTGGGAGGCGGCGATGGCAAGGCCTCGCCTGGGAAATTTCTGGGGTCGCCCTCGACTCTGGAACGTTCCCAGACCCCGTCTTCCCCCTTAAGGATGGAGGTGAGCGAGGCCGGGCCAGGAGCGAGGTTCCGGGCCATTTTCCCCTTTACTGGCGACTGTTCCCCCAATTGCCTAGAACGGAACCAAGACTCTCTTTACACTTCTTTTTTTAAAAAATATATTTTGATTGATGTCAGAGAGGAAGGGAGAGGGAGAGAGAAACATCCATGATGAGAGAGAATCACGGATCGGCTCTCCCCTGCACGCCCCACACTGGGGATGGAGCCCGCAACCCGGGCCTGTGTCCCGACCGGGACTCGAACCCTGACCTCCTGGTTCCTAGGTCAATGCACAACCACTGAGCCACACCGGCCGGGCAGCACTTACGTCTTCGGTAATGTGACTGGCTTGTCCGTTAGCAGAAGAATTACAGAGGAAGCGAGGAGACAGCAAGCGCCCGGATCGGTTGGGTTTCTCATCGGCTCTTCCCTGGGAGGGCTGAGGGGGGGGGGGGGCGGGATGTGTCGTGGTCCGTGTGCCTTTCGCGGCTTTGGAAAATGAAAAGAGATCAGATAGCGAGGCTGCTGGCAAACCCTCGCATGGCCTATATTTTCCCTTTGTTGACATGCAGTGTTAGGATATATTATTTTTTTAAAATACATTTTTATTGATTTCAGAAAGGAAGGGAGAGGGAGATAAAAACATCCATGATGAGAGAGAACCATGGACCGGCTGCCTCCTGCACGCCCCCCACTGGGGATGGAGCCCACAACCCGGGCATGTGCCCTGGCCGGGAATCGAACCCGGGACCCTTCAGTCTGCAGGCCGACGCTCTATCCACTGAGCCACACCGGCCGGGCCCCTAATTACTGTTCCGTGTTTTTCTCACGGACCCTAGTGGTCCTTAGGGGCAGGGGAGGGGGCGTTGTTTTTGCAAATCCCTCTCCCTCTCCACTGGGCAGTCTCTGGGGAGAGTTTGGGGTGTGACCCCTTGGGAGCCGGCTACTGGGCTCTCACGAGTGGGGGCCAGGGATGCTGCTGACCATCCTGCAAGGCTCCAGGTGGACTTACCTGACCCAGCGGGACAGACCCGGCCGCGGGCAGCAGGCCCATCTCCCCTGCGGCTCACTCACAGCCTGGACATTGGTGAGACTGTCCTGACACTCAAATGCATAAAGATGGACCCTCAGGCCCTGGCTGGTGTGGCTCAGCAGATAGAGCGTCAGCCTGTGAACTGAAGGGTCCCAGGTTCGATTCCCGGTCGGGGCACAGGCCGGGTTTTGGGCTCCATCCCCAGTGGGGGGCGTGCAGGAGGCAGCCGATCCGTGATTCTCGCTCATCATGGCTGTTCCTCTCTCTCTCCCTCTCCCTTCCGCTCTGAGATCAATAAACATATATTTTAAAGAAGATGGACAGTTAGTGCTGTTTTGGGGGTGCCCTCCCCAGGGTGTTCTGCTGATATTGTGGGGGCCGTGGTGGGGGGCAGGGGGGAGGCAAGGCTGACATCTGAGCACAGGAGGCCAAAATGAAGGGACTCATAGCCTGGCCGGCGTGGCTCAGTGGTTGAGTGTCGACCTAGGAACCAGGAGGTCAGGGTTCGATTCCCGGTCAGGGCACAGGCCTGGGTTGCTGGCTCGAGTGATCCCCAGTGTGGGGTGTGCAGGAGGCAGCCGATCCATGATTCTCTGTCATCACAGATGTTCTCTCTCTCTCTCCTCCCTTCCTCTCTCTCTCTCTAATAATCAATATATATATATCTTTTATTGATTATCTATACCAATAAAAGGGTAATATGAAAATTATACCAGATAGACCGGACGTCTTCTGGACGACCTTCTGACATCCTTCCGGACAAAGCCACGGTGGCGGGGCTGAGGCAGAGGTGGTTAGGGGCAATCAGGCAGGCAGTCAGAGCAGTTAGGGGCAATGAGGCCGGCAGGGGAGAGTGGTTAGGGGCAATCAGGCCAGCAGGGGAGAGCGGTTAGGGGCAATGAGGCCGGCAGGGGAGAGCGGTTAGGGGCAATGAGGCCGGCAGGGGAGAGCGGTTAGGGGCGATCAGGCCGGCAGGGGAGAGCGGTTAGGGGCAATGAGGCCGGCAGGGGAGAGCGGTTAGGGGCGATCAGGCCGGCAGGCAGGTGAGCAGTTAGGAGCCAGCGGTCCCGGATTGCGAGAGGGATGTCCGACTGCCGGCGGTAGGACATCCCCCGAGGGGTCCTGAATTGGAGACGTTGCAGGCCGGGCTGAGGGACCCCCCCTCCCCACCCCGCCCCCCGTGCACGGATTTCGTGCACAGGCCTCTAGTGTATATGTAAGAACCAGTCACAGAGCAACTCCTACGCAGGGTCAGACACAGGAGCGCGGCCAGCGGGACGTGCCTCTCACGCGTCACGGGAAGAGAGTCACCCTCAGACCCCCTCAGGGTGGCGCCCGAGGAGGAAACGGAGGGGCTGATGTACAGAGGGCACCCAGGAGAAAAGGATGCCGGACTCTCTATCGCTCGCGATCGAGGCTTGCCAAGCAGGCGTCGGAACCCAATGCAGCCCGTTGATTAAATACCAACGCCCAGCTGGGTGTCTCCCGTCAGCCAGGACAAGGGCCCCTCGGTGTCA